TATATATACATATATATATACATATATATATACATATATATCTAATACATACATACATATACATATATACTTATGCATACGCATACATACTTATACATATACACTAAATACATATACATATGAATATCGATACACACACACACGAATATATATATATATATGTGTGTGTGTGTGTGTGTGTGTGCGCGCGCCGCGCGCTGGCCTGTTGGTGGTGGGGTCACTGTAAGTCCCCTCAGGTTAAGGGTTCGATCTCATGATGGCGCAAGGGCTCTGGAATTTTAGACACATGGCGCGGGCTCTCATCATGGGGTGAAAAAGTGCATGTGAAATCGATATTTGAGCGTCTACCAAATATCTATCTCCTTTTAGAAATATATATATATATATTATATGTGTGTGTGTGTGTGTGTGTGTGTGAGAGTACACAACACATAAAGTTTGATGTTCACATTTATAAAACTTTGGTATCATAAATGCTTTATGTGGTATGCATGTTAATTCCCCTAAAATCTTATTTTAATTTGTTTTTCATTTAAAGATTAACTTTTTATTTTAAATTTATACAATACCTGAAAATATTTACAAGAAAAGAGTTCGAAAGTTATAAATTAGAATAAAATATGGAATGACTATAAAAATAAAAAACAGAGATCAACAATAATATGTAATGTAGAGGAATTAAAATAGAAAAAAGAAATATAAAAGCCAATTACTCAAATAGAACGAGTAAAGGGGCATTGTATAGCCTTCAGCCAACATAAATCCAAGGCCAATTTAGCAAAAGAACAAAATGAATGATATTAAAGTATTTTGAGTGATTTAGGACTAGGGAGAGTGTACGAAAATATATGAATGATGTCAAACTATTTTGGAAACTAATGTGTTACATCCAAACTTAAAAAATCTTGTAGCATAACACCTCGAATTGACCTCTGAAACCCCTTAAAAAATGATTCTATTTTTTAGTGCAACAGTCCACAAACTATTTTGGAAACTAATGTGTTTTGAATTTTTATTTCAAATAAAATTAGAAAATAAATTTTAAGACATCCAAACTTAAAAAATCTTTTAGCATAACACCTCAATTTGACCTTTGAAACTTTTTAAAAAATGATTCTATTTTTTAGTGCAACAGTCCACTTGAAATGTCAACAAGTGCAAACCTGAAATTAAATTGGATACTACTTCATATGAATTCTAGCTGCTAATCCATTTACCTTCCTTTCTTTATCTCTCATGGGCTATATAAAAAACATGGACTGGTCGAATAATTATTTCCTTGAGTTAGAAGAGGTTAATTGACATATTAATTGCTTCAATGAAAATAATAACTCAGGAGAATAGCAAGAAATTTGTCCTAATCTGATCAAAAGCACTCTTATTAGCATGAATTTTCTTAGAATATGAAATCTTATTCAGCATATATCTTAGAACCAATGAAATCTACCCAAACGAGGCTAGATACTCCATTAAAATTTTCGTAAATTAAACTAATATCAATATATTCTCATATTGTACTTTGCTTGACTCCATAAATAAATCCACATATTCATAAAAATCACACTAAATAGGATGAAAATGTTGAATATGAAATTATTCGTGAATCGCACTCAATGAATATAGCATAAGACAGGAGAGAGTGGGGGGAGGTGGGAAGGGCGTGCGAGACAGGGGGAGGAAAAGTGCACAAATGCACAAAGACTTGCCCATCTTGGAGAAACTTACGTAGACTCTTGTTGTTATAATTTAATATCTATCAATACATGAGAAGTGAGCGGGCTAACAACTCCTCATACATAAAATGATCCCTTATTTATAGTAGAAAGAGTACAATATTAAGATATTACATTTCTAATTTTTCTTTAATGAGGGTTGTACATGTGTTTTTTGGATATTTTACATACGTGGGTCAATGGCTATCAATTGTATTGTGTTACTCAAGTTACGGGTTGTCCAGAACATTGAATATCCAAACTGTGAGACTTTTAGATTGATAATCATTCAGACTACAAGATTCAATCTAACATATATTTTATATACATATTTAGTTCCCGATTAGCTTATCTCTTTAAAAGGCGATTCTGAAAAGAACAAGAGAATTTTAATGCAAAGAATATTATCGCATCTACTCAAAAATTGAATTATTTTAACTTCATTTTTTTATGACTTTGATGTGCTCTCTTAAAGTCTACGGGTCAGTAGGACAGTCTCGGTTGGCTAGGTTTTACTGACCTCTAATAAGAAATGTTGTGAAAACTAATCAAGCAAAAAATAAAGTGGAGTTCTTGGCCGGTTTTCACTTATGTTTTTGTGCTCAACCTCTTACTCTGTGTTTTATTTTCCTTGTGACGAGCTCTTGATTTTTGATGATTGATGGATCGGGTTTGTTGAGGATTCCTTCGATCCATTTTATTGGGTTATTACTCGATTCAAGTCATTTGCCCAGTCAGGTCTTCACCTTGGACGGGTCATACCTTTCACCAAGCATATTATGCAGATCTTATTGGTGCCTTCATGAGGGTAACTATTGAGACTTCTTGTTGCGATGATTTGCAAGCCGCTCATCACGGATCTTGTCGCTAATGGTTAGAGAATCACCTCCATAGCTTGACTTGTGCTGAGTTAGGAGACATAAGCTTTTGATGCTTGGTTGTTGTTGGGTCAGTACTTGCGTAATTTGCAGATCAGACGTTAATTGTCTTTATCAGTCAAACATTGATGATTTTTAAGAGAATATTATCGATCAGACTATACTTCATCATTGTTAAAATTTTAGAGAATATTACCGACCAAATATTGCTTGTCCCTAGCGGTTTTGTTGCTTGAATAGAACTTCCCCTACTCGATAGCCCAAGTTCCAAAAGTGTTGGATGGATTTTGATCATCCATTACATAAAAGATCCCAAGTTTCTCAAGTGTCGGTCGAACCCTGAATTATGTACATAATTAGAAAAGCTTTTCTCATTATTTTTATGAATGAAATACATAAGTTGGAATGAAAACAAACTTCTAATGATGCAAGTCATCTAAACTGCAGGTTGTCTAGACAGTTGGTTGTATGGACTGTTGGTCGTCCAAATTGTGGGTCATCTAGGTTGCTGGTCTTCCAGCTTGCAGATCATCCAGGTTGTTGGTCATCCACATTACTAGTATTCCACACTGTTAGTCATCAATAATGCAAGTCATCCAGGTTGTTGGTTGTCCAGTCTGTCGGTCATCTCTCTTCATGAGTTTCCCACTCCCAAGGAATCAAGCATAAGACTTGATAGAGAGGGTAGAGACAGAGTGAGGAAGAGTGCATGCCAATTTGCCCCTCTAAGACAAACTGGAGTATTCCTAAGCTCTTGTGACTCTTTTAATATAATCAAATCTTTATGAATACACGAGTAGGGAGAGGGCCAAAAGTCCCCCTTACATAAATATTTATAAAAGATGTTGTACAATATGAAGATATTACATTTCAAACCTTGCTTTAATGAGGGTTGTATATGATATTTTGAGTATTTTATATATGTAAGTCTGTGGCTATCAATATTATTGGGTCATCCAAGTTGTGAGTCTTCTAGATTTCTGGTTAACCAGACAGCATGTTGTACCGACTGTGAGATTTAATTCGACACATTTAATCTTAATGTACACATTCAATAAACTTACTATAAATTAGTTCATATGAAAACATGCATGATTTTCAATCTTAAAAACATACTCTTATAAAAATCAAATTTATTTTAAAAAACTAACAATAATAATAAAAAAAGCAGCCCCACCCAAATGCATGGTTCCATAGCTAAAAACTCCCTTATTACCAGCCCGAAAGAAACAGAAAACAAACCAAAGTCAAATACGACCAACAATCAAGTAAAGCCCACTAACATATTACTAACAAAACCCACCAGCAAAGCCGATATCACGACGAGTCGCATCCCTGCAGCATCAATCATCTTCCTTCGCGCACGCAGCAAGTGCCCTCTCAAACTGCGCCCACCGCTGCTCCACCGACCCGCTATACCCCACCGACATCCGCACAAGACCAGAAGAGATCCCCGCAACCTGCTTCTCCTCCTCACTAAGCTTACTCGCCGTGCTGCTTCCAGAGCACGACATGAGCGTCTCGTAGTAGCCGAGTGAGACCGCAATAAGCCCGAACTGAGTCGTGTTCTGTAAGTGATAAAGCAGGCGGTTGGCGCGCTCTGCAGTGCCCATGTCGAGACAGAGCATGCGTAGCCTGGATTGGCGAGGGAGCGGAGGAGGTTGTGGTGAGGGTGGCTCGCTAGGCCGGGGTAGATGACTTTCAAGCCCAGCTGCTCCATGCGTGAGGCGTACAGCATTGCGCGCGCGCAATGCTCTTTCATGCGGAGGGCGAGGTGGGGGAGTCGCTCTGATAGTTCGAAGGCTACCTTCGCGTTCATTGTTGGGCCAAGCATCATAAGAGTTCCGCCATGAAGATCCATCATTGAGTTTATGAGCGTTGCCGGCCCGCAGATTGCGCCTGCACGTCCGTCAATGGCGGATAGACTAAATTAGGATGATAATTGAAATTGATTACTGATTTGAGCGCAGGATTGGGACTTAAGATGAAAATGAAACATCTTTTTTGCTGATTTAAAAATTAACTTTTGAGAATGTTTAGTGATGAGAAATGAAGTTTGCTCATGACTACTAGCGTTTTTAACACGCTGCCTTCATGTGAAAATCTTTGTTTTAGGATATCCTTATAAATTTGAAAATGTTTAGTGATGAGAAACGAAGTTTGCTCATGACAACTAGCGTTTTGAACACGCTGCTTTCATGTGAAAATCTTTGTTTTAGGATATCCTTATACAAAATAGAATAAAGAAAAAAGATATTTCATTGATTATGAATGAAAGATATATCAAAGAGTGAGCTAAATTTGTAAGAACGATTTTCATACCTATGCCAGCATGTTAAAGATATATGTACGGGGCAGACGGTGGAGATGGGTGCCAAAAAAAAAAAAAAATCAACGCATGGAGGCTTTCATGCATCTTCATCCGCATTTGATATTTTTATTGCAATGTGTGGAGGTAAAGCATGGGAGCCGACCCATAAGCGCCAGCTATGGGCACTCAAGCCCCACTGGCACGGCTCACAGTGGAGCCAGAGCTTAGGCATCGGCTCAGTCGTAAAAGTGCTCATATCAAGAGAGGCTGACACCTATTCCCAGTCTATTGACATCTATGCGCCTATACAGAAAGCTTGGCACCTAGGCGACCAGGGCAGATTTCTTTTAGGATTTATTTTTAATCCCATTTTTTAGCAATTATGCGCCTATTATTGGGCGTCGAACAGAAAGCTTGGCACCTAGGCGACCAGAGCAGATTTCTTTTAGGATTTATTTTTAATCCCATTTTTTAGCAATTTTTTATGAGGCTTTGAGTTTCTTTCTTTTGAATTCTTTAACGAGCATCCCGGTGAAAGTGATAAGTGTCGAGGAGGTGGATTCAGTAATTCAACTTGATTTTATGTCGAATCGCAGATTGAAGGATTGTGGAGCGAGTCTTATAATTTTATTTTATTTTTTTTGAGAGAGAAAACTTATGTTAGTTTTTTGTAAAACCTTAATTTTTTTCCGTTCTCAGATTTTTCCACGAAAAATTCTTACATGTTTTTCCGATTGTTTTGATTGTGATTTATATTTAATTTTGTTCTGATTTTCTTGAATTGGTGCAATCCTATTATTCCATGATGAGACTTAATTTCTAATTGATCCTGATCGCCCATCAATTTGGAAAATTTTCCATATTTCATATCAATTTTTTCCTTCAATATAAGCACAGCAACGGTACCTGTTTTAGGTGCACAAGGTTACTAAAAACGATAATAAGTATTTTGCAATATAATGATACTCGTGAAAACACCAATGAAATTTGTGCAATCTTGCAGATCGAGTTGGGATACACCACCGGCACTCAGAAAGAAACTTCAGAAAAAAACCTATGTGAGACCCAATTTAGAAAGAAAGATTATACATGTATAAATTGAAATTTATATAATAAACATAGGGATGCATAATATTTGTCTCATAAAAATTAAAATAAAAAAAAAAAACAGGGCGCACCTGCAATAATGTCAGCTCCGCCACTGATATACTTAGAAACACTATGCAGCACAACATGAGCTCCAAGCCGTGCCGGCGACACAACCATAGGCGTAAACGTGTTGTCCACCACCAGCATCACCCCCTTCTCCCTCGCCACCGCGCTCAATCCCCGTATATCCGCCACCTCCAAACTCGGGTTCGACATCGTCTCCACATATATCACCCGCGTCTCCCCCTCCCTCACCTCCCTCCCCACTCCCTCTAAATTCTTCACGTCCACAAACGTCGTCTTCAATCCCGTCATACGAGGCAGAAACCGTGAAAGCAACTCGTACGTCCCGCCGTAAAGGCACCGCGAAGCCACGACATGCGACCCTGCCGGGCAGAGCTGGAGCAGCACGGAGAAGACGGCGGAAATGCCGGAGGATGTGCAATAGGCGGCTTCCGTGCCCTCCATGGCGGCTATCTGGCGGCTGAGGTTGAGAACGGTGGGGTTGAAGTGGCGGCTGTAGAGGTAGAAGTCGCGATCAGGGCCGAGCTCGCCGGCGAATATTTTGGTCAGCATGTCGGGCTCCATGACGGTGAAAGTTGCGGAGGCTTCGATGGACATGTTGACGCCACCGTGTTCCCCGAACTCGTGTCGGGAGTTGGCTAGTGATTCGACGGGCTCCGCTGGCCATTTTGTGGCGTCGTGTGGCGCGGATCGTGGGCTGCGTTGTTCATTTTTGTTTTTGTTTGGACATGAGTTGTTCAGGGTGGCTAGTTTGGGAACTAATTCGTTGTTGATTGCGTCGTTCTTGCTCTCAGATTGAACTGCCTCCGCCATTATCCTTCTCTCTCTCTCTCTCGTCAAGGGCCACTTCTGTGCTGCTTCTGAAAGTTGATGTTTATTTGTCAAGGGTCACTTCTGTGCTGCTTCTGAAAGTTGATGTTTATTTATGCTAAGGAAAGCGTCTGATTTTTTTTTTTGTGGGGTGGGGAGATGAGCACCAAGTAAAGTAAGAACCTATAAAATCAAGCCTAAACCCTAAATGTTATGGTATGACTCATATACCATATCGGGACAGACGCTGGATCGAAGCGGAACAGAAGAATCTGTCCAAATTGGGAAGTTACGTGGGTTGGGGTGCGGGGGCAAAGCCCCTCGATATGGTACAGGGGTAATGTTGTAATTATATATTGTGTCTAGGTTTACTCCTCAGGTTATAAATAGGTCTGTTAGTAACCCCAGGAGGTATCCCTCTATTTTGTAACCTCTTTTCTGAATATTGAAAGGAACTCGCCGCTCTGCTCTCGAGGACGTAGGCATCTTTGCCGAACCTCGTTAAAT